CCAAATTGGAAAGATAGATGATGCCATAGTTGCCATTATGGAGGATAATGCTATGACAGGAACTGTTCATGGGAGAACATTGGCAGAGGGAAATGGAATCACCAGAAAAATACGTAACTTCAAATTTTTGTGTGGCTTACTGTTCTGGCATGACATACTGTTTGAAATAAATGTTGTAAGCAAGAGACTCCAAGGTGTTGACCTTGATATATCTGGAGCAATCGAACAACCGGACAAAGCAAAGTTATACCTACAGTCTTACTGGTCAGATGAGGGATTTCAAAACGTTCTGAAGAGTGCACAAAAGTTAACAGAGGAACTTCACACTGAAGCTATTTTCCCACCCATTCAAGAATACAAGAGTCACTGAAGAAGAAGACATTTTGATTATGTGGCATGGGATAATCCCATCAGAGACCCCAAACAACAATTCAAAGTTGAATTCTTTAACCAGGTGCTAGATTGTGCAATACAGTCAGTTGAAGAACGTTTCATGCAGCTCAAGGAGCACAGCAGTATATTTGGGATGTTGTATGATATTCCAAAACTCCTCATTCTACCTGAAGAAGACCTATACCAGCAATGCAGGGCACTAGAGACAGTGTTGACACATGATGACATGTGCGATATTGCTGCGAGTGATTTAGGTGATGAACTGAAACCCCTTTCAAGATACATTTCAGCAGGATCAACTCCAAAGGCTGTTCTGGAATATATGTGCACAAATAAGATGACCACCCTCTTTCCAAATGCTTTTGTTGCTCTGCGCATACATTTAACACTTCCTGTAACAGTTGCCAGTGGAGAACGCAGCTTCTCCAAGCTAAAGTTAATAAAAACACATCTACGCTCCACAATGACACAGGAGAGGCTGGTCAGCCTTGCAACCATCTCAATAGACCATGAGCTGGCCCAGACTGTGGACCTTCAGCAGGAAGCAGTTCAAATCTTTGCAAACAAGAAGGCATGGGAAAGCACTACTTTGATTATTCAAACAGATAAAAATGCCAGTGTTTACTATGCAGACAAGAAAAGTTACATTTGCTGTTCAGGCGTTTGAAAGTTAAGTGTTACTTAAAATTTTTGAACAAGGCATTTTAAATTGTTAGTTCTCCTTTATTGGGGTAGGTATCAGAGCAGTACCATGAGAAGAGTAGAACAGGAAGAAGGCAGAATTGAGACCTTTCAAAGTTTTGGCCCAAGCAAGGGGGCATGGGGGTGTCATTTGAGCTCCCCGCCTCAGGTGCCAAAATGTTGTGGGCCGGCAATGTTAGCAGTTGTCTAAAAAGAACATTTTAAACTGCTGAGTGGTAGTTACTGCACAACAAAATGAATCCACAGAATATATGACTAAAATCTAGATCTCTTTTTCCCCACAGAGATGAAAAAGTAAGTGTTGTTGTAGGACATAAAGAAATTCTTAAAGCTGCCTGCATCAGTGAAGAGGAAAAACGCACAGATTTGGCACTAAGAGCTAAAATGTTTTCTTTTGGAGAGTTTAATCCAGAAATCCAGGTAATTCTTTTGCAAAACACGTTTTATAGCAAGAGAACAAATTTTGCAATTACATCTTTAAAAAAATCTTATTCTTATCACAGAGGAAAAAGAAGAAGTGCTGAAATGGGGATTTTCTTATGCCTTGAAATAAATAGTAGCATAAAGTATTCCATGTGGTTCCTCCCCTCTCTCCTAATCTGTTCCTGTTTAGATAACAGCATCAGTTGTGCAGTGTCTAATACTTCATTATTATTATTACTTCATTTACTATCTGCAGCTATTCAAGTTGTTGATGTAGAAGTCAGCAATTTTTTCTTTCTAGCTATGGTACAGTAAATCTGACTAGGTAACATTGTGGGGGGAAAGGGATAATCTGAGACTATATTTTTTCCCTTAAACTACGTACTTCAAGTATTTGAGCACAAAGATAGATGAATGTAACATACATTTTATGCAATTGTGCAATTACAACTGTTTGTAATGAGGTAGATTTCACCTGACAGATAACACGTTATAAAATCCTAGTGTAAACAGGATAAATTGTAGTTTACCTCAGTATAGCTACTGCAGGTGATCCCTGGGCTGCCCCTTTGGGGCCACAGTTCAGCCAGGGACTTAAACACGTGCCCAGCTGTAAGCATGTGAGAAGTCCCATTGACATACACGTATGCATGTACATTAGTACTTTGCTGAATTAGGGCCGTAGCTCAGGAAAGGGTGAGGTATTTATCACCAAAACGCTAAGGTGGAATTTCTTTGAATTCCATGGCTGCGTATTTGTTGTTTTTCATAAGGTTAAAATGCTTCTGTTTTTTCATCATTCACATAACGCAAAAGTCGTCCTCTTATTGATGTGATCACATGTGACTGTCAGATTGATAGTAAATACACGTGTATATTGTCTGCTGCTTTCAAGGCATTTACAGAAATGCTATTATATTCAAATATCAATTGTGCAATATTTTATAGGCTCTTACAGATTTGTTTGTGTTTAATCTAAGGACAAAATGCTACATTCACTTACTAAAAAGGTTGCAGAAGTGTACAGAGTTAGTGTTGGAGAAGTAGATACATCAAGCATTAACTCCATTCAGATGTTGAGGAGAATAGAGAATCGAATTGAAGAACTGTGTGAATTGTTGGAGTCAGTTCCAAAAGAAAATATTGAAGCAATTGAGAAAAGTAAGATGAAAGAAAGAAGACAAAGGTAAAGTGAATGTTCAATATGTATAAAATGAGCAAGCTCTTTCCTGATTTGTATTCTGAACAATCTTTGTGGGCTTAGAGCATTTAACTAACAATATTGGTCTTAATCTTGCAAAATGTGGAAGTTCTGACAACAAATGTGTCTGTATATTTTAGATGTGCATAAATTAGATGTTTACCTACATAGCATCACATTAGGGGCAGCATAATGTTTTGTACTTAAGATAGTAAAATAACTGCACATGCCTTCCTAGTGCCCTTTGGTGTGTTCAGCATCAGACATCTAGAGCCTAGTTTTCACTACTCCCACCCAAAAAGGCAGGTTCTTTACTTGAGGTAAAACTGTAGTGAAAACAAGGCAGTTGGTAGTTTTCACATGCATTAGCAAGTTGATTTAAAGACTAGGCTCCCCATTCTATAAGTTGTTTTGTATTCACTAGCATTTTACCTTGAGTTAAGAACATGCATTTATTTTGTAGTGAAAACAAGGCCTGTGAGATGCTTCCAAGCACTGAATTGTGTTTCCCTCAGTAATACAATATATCGTCCCTAGGCTTGGTTATAATCAATAAATTTTAGCAATGGTCGATTTCTCACTGCACTCAGAAAAACTACTATAAGGAAAAAGACCGGCATTCATAACTGGGGATGGGATTTTCAAAAACACTCAGTGTTGCCCTAAGTCCCATAGAAATCAGTGCTAAAATTTCCACTAGGCCAATGCTGAGTGATTTTGAAAATCTTCCCCAAAACTTTGAAAGGTTTAAAAGCTGATCTATCTGTAGGTAACCACTACACTCTTTCTTTTGTTGTTAATCCATATATTATGATTTTATTTCCAAATTCGTAATGAATCTGCTTCTCTCATAGGTGCCAACTTTCTAATGTGTCTGGAGGTGCTTCACCCCCAGCTCTGCCCCAAGCCCTGCCCCCACTCCACCCCTTCCTCCAAGGCCCCACCCCCGTCTCAACTCTTTCCTCTTCCTCCCCCCCTGCATGCCGTACCCTTGCTCCTCCCCCTCCCTCCAAAGCCTCCTGCACACTGCAAAACAGCTGATCGTGGGAGGCGCAGGGAGGGAGGGGAAGGTACTGATCGGCAGAGCCTGCTGGTGGGAGGCCGGGAAATAATTGCCACCCTGGCCCCGCCCCGACTCCGCCCTTTTCCCGCCCCCATTCCAGCCCCCTCCCCAAAGTCCCTGCCCCAACTCTGTCCCCTCCCTTCCCCTATTGGATCCCTTCCCCAAATCCTCGCCCCCGGCCCCACCTCTTCCCCCAGCGCGTGTTCCCCCTCCTCCCCCCTCCCTCCCTGCCCCGTGAAACAGCTGTTTCGCGGCGCAAGCGCTGGGAGGGGAGAGAAACAGGACACCGCGGCGCACTTGCAGAGGAGGCGGAGTTGAGCTGGAGCAGAGGGGCGGGGCGCGGAGGGGAGCTTCCACCCCTGAAAATTTGCTGCCCTAGGCCTAGGCCTTCTCGGCCTAGGCAATAATACGGCGCTGGATGGGGGGCTGCCAGTGAGAGCTTAGCACCCTCCATTTTTTCCCCATGGGTGCTCCAGCGCACCCAGGGAGTCGGTGCCTATGGCTTCTATAGTTCGAAATCGTGGCCTCTCTTGCCTGGTGCTGCAAGGGAGTAAGGGGGCATAAGATGTCACTGTAGCGTTTCAGTGTAGACACTACCTACACAGACAGGAGGGCTCCTTCTTTCAACATAGGTATTCCTCCTCCCTGAGAGGGGGGTAGCTAGCTTGATGGAAGAATTCTTTTGTCTACCTAGTGCTGTCTACACGGGGAATTAGGTCGGCTTAACTACGCCGTTCAGGGGGTGTGGAATTTTCACACCCCTGACTGATGTAGTTAAACCCAACTAGTTTTCTAGTATAGACCAGGCCTCTGTCTCTGGTGCTTGCTCCCAGATTGCAGCATGGAGAAGAGGACAGTCTCTGCAGAGCTGCTATATCCCACCCCCGTGCAGGTGGGTGAGGAGTGGGCTCAGTCCCACCCGTCATCTCTCAAGGCACTGGCTAGGATAGCTACACTGGCATGCTGGAGGAAAGATGCTAGGTAAAGGTTATTGTTTTGCTGCCCATGAAGCAGCTTGGGAAGCAGATTGTGATTCTGAGAGTCACAATCTGTTTTCCAGTCTCCCCCCCCTTTTAAACAGGAACTTCATCCTATTAGGAGCATCATATTATGCCAAATTGTAAGTTCTCAGTTGATTCATCCTTAGTTCTCCTTTACATAATAGGAATAAATGTTCCGATTTCCTCCTCCAGCTCTCTCTGGCTGCTCCCTTCAGTCCTTTCTGCTCAGGGCTCCAAGTTTTTTGCCGCCCCAAGCAAAAAAAATTTCCCGTGCCCCCCCACCCCATTCCAACCCCTTCCCCAAATGGCAGGCCCTGCCTCCTCCCCTGGGCACGCCGCATTTCCCCTCCTACCCCTCCCTCCCAGGCTTGCTGCAAAACAGCTGATTCACGCGGTAAGCCTGGGAGGGAGGGGGGAGAAGCGGAGTGGCTGCGCGCTCTGCCCCCCCCCCGGTTACTTCCTGCGGCCCTCCCCGCACCCTCCACCACCACAGCTCACCTCCGCTCATGGCCGCCTCCCGGCTTTTTGCGCCCCAAGCAGGAAAAAAAAAAAAGGAGCCGGAGTGCTGCCCCTTGGAAAGTGCCACTCTAAGCACATGCTTGGAGCACTGGTGCCTAGAGCCGGCCCTGTTTCTGCTTACAAGTCCTTTTGTTTCTTACCCACTTTTAAGCTTTGCATTGTTTACTATGCTGCCTGCCCCTTAGTTTGGAACAATATTCAAGTTCCTCTACTATGAGACTCCCCCTCTATCCCTTCCAGTCCATTTCTTCCAAGAATTTCCTTGTTATCTCCAACACGCTCCCCTTGCTCTTTCTTGAACTGCATCCCTTGACTTGCTTCTGTGTCTTGTCGGTCTAAGCCTGGAAGCCCTGTGGATTAGGCAATGTCCTGCTGTGAAAATGTACCATTCTATGTGATTTTTAATAACCATATTGTAGAAAGATTATCATATATGCACAAATAAGTGATGATTCCCCAATAAAAATTGATGGCATGCCTCCCCCCGGACACACACACTTTTTTCCCCTTCCAACTGGCAGCATTGTGAAGTGTGGGTATGGCATAAGTTGTCTAGATCCCACACCCTAATATACTCTGTTATATGTCACCGATGGAAATGCTATATTTATGTCTCTCTATAATTCATGAACTTTTTATTGCCATAAGTACGTGTATCATCAGCTTTCTCAGGGCAGAGACTGTCTCTTTTTGTGTTTTGTACAGTGCCTACCACAGTGGGGTCCTGGTCCTCTAGGCACTATTGCAATACAAATAATAATGATAATAATAATCCAAACTCCTAGATTTTTCATTTGCATCTCCTATTTAGCTAATAGACAAAAACAAAACAAAATCAAACAATCCGTCTTAGACAACTGCCTAGTGACACCACAGCTGCAGAGATGCTGACATGCACATTATTCCATCTCAAGTCAGCATTCAATTCTGCTTTAATTTTTCCCTTCAGAACCACCCTTTTTGATCACATATGACAGCATACTAGTGTTTTGTGCTGATTCTACCACTTTTGCTCTAATAGATGCTCCTCCAGTACAAATGCAGATGGTATGGGGGAGCTGGAGATTCACCTTTTCTTTTAGAGGAGAGGCATATACCAGCAGATCTTCAGCTATGTGGGAAGGCAGATGACAGCACCTTCAGACATAAATAAAGCCAACATTCTGAGAAGCACAGCATGGGCAGTGGCAGATTAGCCACAGGGCCTGGGCCCAGGGGCCCCAGCCAACTAGGGCCCTCCCTGCTTCTGCTGCCTGCGGATGGGCAGGGGAAGCCCGCCGACCTCCTCCCCGGCAGAAGCCGCAGGGTAGCAAGCGAAGCCCCCGTGCCCGAACCCACTCTCTGGCAGAAGCGCCAGGTGGGCGGGGCAGGAGAAGCCCCAGTGCCCCAACCCTGGTCCCCTGCAGAAGTGTAGAGGGTGGCAGGGGACGCCCCAGCACCTGCACCCCTGCTGCAGCCCTGGGACTGGAGGGGCTCTCACTCCCTGCTATGGCCCTGGGGCCATGGCATGGGGACAGAGTTTCTCCGGTCTTGGGGTGCGGTGGGGGAAGGGCAGAAAAGAGCAAACAGGTTGTGGGATGGGTGGAATGGGAGAGAGGCCCTGGGTGAAACAGGGGCTGGGTCCCGGGGAGGAGTCAGAAAGGGGTGGGGCTGTGGGTGGGGCCACAGGCAGAAGGGGCAGAACAGGGGCAGGACCACAGACAGAAGAGGTGGGGAGGGGCCCCACACTTGCTCTGGCCCAGGGCCCCCGGAAACCTTAATCCACCTCTGATCATGGGATATGAAGGACTTGTATGGTGTCTAATGTCAACCAGTGGATGTGTAATCTATTGGGTTTAGCAAACTGAGATGTTTTTACTTTTATTAAATGGACAAAAATGTATGACTTGATGGGCAATCTAGTCCTAGAACAATAGAGAGAAACAACCAGGGAAGTCACTAAGGGCTTGATCCTGCTCCATTGAAGTCAATCAGAGTAGGGAGCAGACCCTAACCCATGTGTTATAGTGATCATGTAACAGAGGAACACCATCAGGTTATAGTCGTTAACAATGCACTATAGTTCAACTTTTTGCCCCATTGTACGTGGGAGTGCCTGGTTGGTCCTCAATAGCCTGCTATTAGTTATCTGGAGGTATTATATTTGTACAGCTATGCGCCAATGGAAACAAATGGATTGGGCAATTTTTTCTTCCTGTTTTTCCTGTTACTTGTTTTTTAAACGAATAGAGTTAGCGGGACAGCGTGTGATATGCTAATAATGCCAGTGAGATAGTATCGAGTTGGAGTTCTCAGGGGAGCAAACATCTTGCCAAATGCTGCCTTCTATATTTCAAAGCTGAGTTTACCACAGGTCAGAAAAACAGTTCATTTAATGTGATATCACACACGTGTTTTTTAAAAACCATAAAATAAATCGTTTAATGTACAAAACCCCTCAGAAATATTTATTTTAATACAACACTGATCTCATAAAAGGCCCCAATTATATTTTTATGTTCTAAGCATTTCTGGAATTATTTTTTCTACTTTTCGTGCAGTAACAGATCTACACTTTTTTTGTTATATGATAAAAATGCTTTTGTTTTATGTTAGGGAAGTGAAATCATGAGTTAAATATTTATACTGTGGTATATTGGAATATCATAGTTGACATTTTTGTATGAATATTACAATAAAAATACAAGTAGCTAAAAGGTTTTTATTTTCTGTCAATACACCAGATGTATCTTGAAACAAGGTCACATTTAAATGTTTCAGGACTATGAGTTGCTTTTAGATGATCTATTACAAAAACAACAAAGCGGAGATAGGGCTACTCCCCAGCTGCCTGGCACCGGATGTCTATTCTGGAACACCAACAGCCCATTTAAAATTAGGGAGTGTCAACCATGTTCAAAACATCACACATAAAAACACAGTTTGGCTTTTCCAAATAACAGCATATTTTTCTTTGCAGCTGGAAGTGTCCTTCAAGTCCCAACGCTCCCACTTGTTCTACACTGCCATAGAGTCCCTGGTGCACTAAATTTTCTTCTAGCAGAAGACAAATGCTATTTCTACCTTTAGCATGCATCAGACCTCTCAGCCCAAGAGGAAGGGATTCAGAGGAGATATGCTCCTTGCCATGAATCAGCAGGAGAACTGACTTTGAAAGGCAGAGATTCTTTTCCTGATGAGAGGGGCTGAGCATGTTACCTTTGCTGTATTACTTTCACAGAAGCAAGGGACTAAGGCCCTGCTGATTCTGCCAACACACACACATGAGTAGTCCCATTTTGTTGAGAAACTAGCTACATAGATTTCAAGCCTGGAACCATTGTCATAATCTAGTCTGACCTCCTATAACACAGGCCATAGAACTTCCCCAAAATAATTCCTAGAGCAGATCTTTTAGAAAAACATCCAATCTTGATTTTAAAATGATCAGTGAGAGACTCCACCATGACACCTTGGTAAATTGTTCCAATGGTAAATCTCATTGTTAAAAATGCACATCTTATTTCCAGTCTGCATTTGTCTAGCTTCAACTTCCAGCCCTTGGATCATGTTATACCTTTATCTGCTAGATTGAAGAGCCCATTATTAACTATTTGTTTTCCATTCAGGTACATATGGATTGTAATCAAATCACCCCTTAACCTTCTCTTTGTTAAGCTAACAGATTGAGCTCCTTGAGTCTATTTCTGTAATGTAAGGCATGATTTTTAATCCTTTAAGCATTCTCAGGGCTCTTCTCTGAGCCTTCTCCAATTTTTCAACATCCTTCTTAAAATGTGGACACCAGAACAAGACATAGTATTTGTGTAGCAATCACAGCAGTGCTAATTGCATTGACTTAGGGTGTGGGATAATATGACAATTAATAAAGCTTCTGCTATTGTGTGACACCACAAGATGCCATAAGGCAGTAGCTATCTGGGAAAAGAAAAGAAACTGGCATCTGTTTTAGCTGAATTCCAAAGTTAAATAAATGTCAAGGCAGTTACAGCGAGCTTTGTCCTTGTGTTAAATTACCCAGCAAAAACAGAGATAAAAGACCTGGCAGGCATATTATGTTCCTGCCTTGACAATCACGTTTGGTCACCAAAAAATTATTACAAATTTAAGGAGTCTTGTATGAAAGTTCAGAACAAACGTATCTGATGTAATGCAGGTAGTTTACCTCCAGTAGCTCATTTTCTTACTGTGATAATTTTTTCGAATGGTTTCAATTCTTTCAAAAGTTGGTTTGCTCTTTTGAGGAGAGAGGTTGCATGATCATTCCTGGTAATTTAAGAACTTCTTCATAGGACATGCATAGGGGTTTGCAGGATCAGAGCTTAAATGTGGGGCTAGAGCTTTGATTCTCTACATGGCAGCCTGTTGTGAAGTGAGTAAACTTGAGTTCATGGGTTTGTTTGTTTTAGCAATAATTAAGGATTCCACTACATTGTTGCAAAGTCACCATTTTGTTTTTAAGTGACACTTTTGCATTAACAGTATGGTGTGATGTCTAATATAGTGAATAGTTGTACTGTACTGCCCCCTTATGGGATTTATCAGCATATGAGATACTTAAATAGTACTGTATACAAAACTTTTTGTGCATTAGCTACATTAGTGACCAGAATTTTGTAAAGCCTCTTTGTTTTCTCCTAATATCGTACATTTGGTAAGTTACAGTTTGCAGTCTACTGTACACCCACCACAGAAAAGAATAAATAAAGCGCACAGCATCAAAAGAGTATGCCTGGGGAAAAAAGGAGAGTAATGTAGCTGGAAGGCCATTCTTTATTCTGAGTCATTACTAAACTAATACCCCAGCATGATGTGAAGGGACAGATTGTACTTTTGGATGGATGTGCCATCTTTCAGAGAAGACATAAAACCACACACCTGAGCACACGCATTAAGATTTTGTAGCCCTTTTTGAAGAGATGAAAAAAGTTAGCTAGTTCTGACCAAAGCCCAATTTGGGTAACTATATTGTATCTGCCTCCTGCCTTCCCATCCCCTTCCGACATACCTTGCAGTTTCAAGAGGATATGTTAGTATTTGCTTCCTGTTCTAACCTAAATAATGTCACTGTGCCCTGTGAAACTGCTACCATGTTCCATCCTAGAAGCGGATAAAATGATTTCAGCAATAGTTCCTAAAGTATTTGGAACCTATTAGTTATACACATGTATAGTCATTTCTGGGGTAGAATATGGCAGCTATCGAACGGTGCAATACTTAAGTTCCTTTTGAAATGTCAGTGTGATTACTCATGCTCGGATTTGGATAGGTCAGTGTTTGGCTAATTTCTGTTTTGCAAAAAAGTCCCATGAGAATGTTAAGGTCCCCACGGATTGTGGTCATGCATTATGTCTCCAAAAGCAGCAATTCCAGCAGCACAATACCCCTTCTCACCAGTCTGTGGCGTTAGTTCAATTTAGATGGAGAGAGAGAGGAGTGTCTCATCCTGTCAAAACACTTTCTATGTCATGCAGTTGTTGTTTAGAAGTGTCCCATCTGAGTGCTGATTAGGACCAACATCACATAGCTTGTGAGAGATGATGTAATCACAGCACAAGAGGGTATGGTTTAAAAAAAAAGTCTTAAAGAGAAAAAATTTTTTAAAGGCAACGACTGCCTTATGTGGAAATAACATCATGGTACCCTTTGCTTCTCCGCTGCTCTGCAAGTTAGACATGATGCCCTTTTATAAGAAATAAGCTTTGCTTCCATCAAATTCCTGGACAGCTAATCCCATGTGGTATCTGAAACAGTAATATTACTCTAGTAAAAAAACAAGAAGCTATATCGGATCCCAGATTATTTTAAAAAAATTCTAATCTGCAAGCCTGCCCCACTTCATTCTCCTTAGTCATTTTGCTGGTAGTTCAGGAAAACATCTTCTTTGAACCAAGATAATTAACTACTGTTTCAAAACTACTGTTTGTTGCCTCCAAAATTAAATTTAAAGAAGCAAAAAGAGTTTGTGTTACAGTTTCAGACCTTTTTGTTCCTATTAATACCTTATGAGTCACTAGCAAATTTCATTTTTCGCCATTGCAGGTTACGTGAAGAAAAAAAGAAACAAGAAACAAAACTTCAGGAAGAACGACTGCAGTGTTCTCTGAAAAGAGCAACTGCAGCACCAAAGAAGAAGGTTTGCATTTAGTTTATTTTTTCTGAAAAGTCTGAGACCATGTGTATTTTTCTTAATAAAAATCCTGTCCCTTTATAGCACTTTTAAAGTTAAATATTAGGATTAGCTTTACTTTTCCTATGCAGGAGAGAAATTTGCATGTAGTTATGACTAAAACATAAAACACCACTGATCATTAGCCTATTCTTAAATAAATTTACAAAATTTGCAGTAGTACTAGATCACTAAAAATAGTTAATCCACTGTCATTTTTTATTTGACATCAGACAGGCCTTTTTGAATAAGCGCTAACTAGTATTTGGTGAAAACTCAATTATAAAGCACTAAAATATGCAAGCAGCCAATTAGTGGATTAACTGAAAATATCTAGCCCTTATTTTGAATAGTAACTAATTGAATATTTCAGTAAAGTAGTACTTGAAAGTGGTTGAGGGAAGTTTAAGGTATAATCCAGTTCAAGGTCCTTTTATTTAATTAAGAGGTCACATCATTAGCAGTTAGAAATCAGGAGAGAATTCACATTTCAAGAGGGTGATACTTGAACTGTTTCCATGGCCTCAACTGCAATATATAAAATGTACAATACTATCTTGTTAATAGTTTCTGGATGCTAGTACTACTCTGCATTCTGCTAGCATCATTACTCAAACTGAGTAGGCCTGTAAATGTAGAATGAGTTGTGCATCTGTTCATTTACAGTCAAAAAACAGTGTAAAATCAGAAAACTGAGTGAACATTATCACCCCAACCTTATTTCTTCCCTGACTGTATATATTAAGATACATCTTAATTATATAATGAAGCAAATGCAGTAACACTAATTACACATCTAAGATTATATAAGTAATTAATTTTCACTTTGTTATACAGTGTCCCATTGTCAGGGTTGTGTGAGAATTTAATGTGACCCTCTATTAATATGTAAAAACCTGGGCAGTTTCCAGATTGTCTGATTTTATCTCAACCTCAGAGGGACACAATTTGAAGCATAGTCTTGTTTTTTAAATTAGGCAGATGTAATAGCTGTGAGTGCTCGACTTATGCTGGGGTATTGCAGGCATGTTTTTCTATTTTGAAAAATGAGTTTCATGGGCAAACTAAGGTACTGCAAATGCTTGTGTACATGGGTAACACCCACAGGTAAAATGATGCATGTGTGTGTTGGTAAGATCCAGCCTTAATTGATTATGACAGAAGCAGTGCAAGTTATTAGAGTAAACTGAAGAACAGGTAATTTCTAATGTTTCAGTGAGTTGTTTTAGGTGGCATATAATAAAAGTAGGTAAAACTTTCAGACATATGATAGTTAAAGCTGGGTGTTTTTAGTCTTTTAGAGTGTAGATTAATACAAGTTTTGAAAAGTGACGGTGGTAGTTTCCAATTTCTCTCTGTTCTCGATCTCTAATCTTGGTAACAGCAGTACTGTCAGGCCTGCTGACAAACTAGAATTGGGAGGTGATTCTTCCAGAATGGGGAAAGGAAGCCTTTCCATAGCCTCAGGCTGGGACCCATGCTAGGAAATGATCATTAATGCATATGTAAATGGTAGAATAAAAGGCAGCATACTGCCATATCAAAGAGAAGGTAGTAAGTGCCACGGGAAGGAGCCATCCCAGCACTAAGCCACTCAAGATTCTCATTCCCATGCAACTAGCTGGTGCATATAGCTTGTTATGTGCTCCAGTTTCTGACAGTCTGTGCATTCTCACACCCTTCTCTCCTCTGCTAATTCTTGTTCATACTCCACTAACACCCCCAGCAGTTTAGTTCTGGTTTGTACTTTGCGATTCTGAACTAAATCCATAGGGGTTTACACTCTTAGATGTAATGTGCCATCACAGCCTCAGAAGGGTTATGGTCTTTAGCTGTGATAACAGCAAAGCAGCTGTGAACTTCAGCCCAGATGTGCATCTGGGCTGAGGTACTTTTTTTTTTTATTTAAATAAACGAAACCCCAACCATCAACTAACAGTTTTATTCTTTTTAAATTTTTAAGTCTAGTTATATTCTTAAGCAAGAATCTGCATATTATAAACCAGACTAAGGCTAAGCTGTGCCAGACCTACGCATAGCCAGGAGACCTGGGGAGAGAACCTCACCTGCTGTAAATTGTCATAGCTCCATTGACTTCAATGGAACTATGCAAATGTACAACAGCTGAGGATTATCTCCATTGTGTCACCATCCAGCCACTGAGGCCATATTTTCTCTATAGGTAATACAGCAGCCAAACTTCAGGAGGCTTTGACTACTTCAGGCCAAAATGACTCTTGGAATCATTGGGGCATAATGCAACTCCACACCCAGCACAGAGCTGTGGAAGTATTTCACAATGCAGCCCTATATAGTCTATTAATAGAATTTATGATAAAAATATGAGTCTCCATAGATGTATACGTTTGTGTTCAACATTTTCCTTTTCCAACATTTCAGATGGGAAGAAAACTGGTATTTCGCTCACAGCCTCCAGAGATTAGACAGGAGGAGGTGTGCCTGAAAGAGATCAACACAAAAATGCAAGACGACATATTTTTCACTTGAGTTTAAAAGTAGTTGTACCTTCTTAAAGACGGTGTTACAGTGTTGTAGGTCTATCTTCCTACTTAGTTCATCTAGAGCAAAAGATTAATATTCTGTACTGTAGTTTAACAGAACTTACAAACAAAGAGGAGTTATCACTAACATGCAGGGATCCTTAGTGTAAGTAGTAAACCTACTTTGTACATCAGATGTGAAAAAGCCCAGAATGTCTTCACTGATCATTCTGTTACACCAGTACCCTTATCAGCAGAGAAAAATGCCATTCCCACAATTCCTTCAGTACACTCCAGTGTAGTCAGCTTAGAAAGACAGCTGTTTGCAACAGTAAAAAAAATCCTCATGGACTTTTGAGCTGCTCTATAATATGACTGCAGTGCAATGAAAGAGATAGGACACCCTTTGTTACATAAAATGATATGCCACAATCCTGTTGATATGCACAACTTTAAAGATAAAGTTTACCATGGGAAGCCACTTAGATGCAAGAGTTCATCTTTAAGAATAGAATAAATAATAATAGTAATACATATTAGTATTTTAAATGTCATTTCATCCCATCAACTATGTAATCTTATTTCAGTTTCAGACTGAAAGATTTCCTCTAGCATTAATCTTGCAACAACCCTTAAAAAGTTTGACTTTAAATTAAATGGGTTTATATAGTTCAAAGTTTCCCTCTGTACGATAATACACTAAACAAACAAGATATGAATTTTATAGAAATTTGTACAGTAAAACTTGACTCCTTAACAAAAGTTGTGAAAAACTGATCTTTATTTTCCAGAAATATACAAACTTATTCTCTCATTTCTCCATCTTCTTCTTCTTCTTCTACTCCTCTGATGTACAGGACGTTGTTACATCTGTAAATAAAACCAGAAGTTCTCTTAATTTTAAACGTTTTTGTTGATTTTCCCCAGATGAACACTAGCTTTTAACTAAGTTACGTGTTTTCCAAATTCAACTTGGACCAACTACTTAAAAAACCTCCAAACATCAAGTTTATCAGGCCAACCAATTAACATATATTGATGGTGATCCCACAGTCTAAGGGCTTTTCAGATGGTTCATTTTGTAGCTGTCCATTATAACAGAGAAAATAAGTTATTAAAAGAATGACATTCACTGTACATGGACTAATTTATTTTTAGGCCCATATCCTATAAACTTATGCCCATGCTTAACTTCAAGCACATTAGTGTTTGCAGGAGCCAGGCCTTAATATATATGTAATAGTTTATTAATCCTCTGTTGACATTCCTCCCCCTCATACACACACATATTGAGGTCTCTGCCACCTGCTGATACCTCTCCCTATTTAGAGACCCTTCATTTCTGAAACTGTTCAGTGCCTATTTAACTTCCTGAATAGGCATGAGATTTTCCTCAGCTATTGACAAGACATTCATATACATATCCAGTAAGAATCCAGAGAACTAATGAAAGACATCATTACAAAAGTAGAAATTATGAAACATTTGTGTATTTTAGTATTACTTTCCTCCTCCCCCAATAAAGGGTTACACTAAAAACGATATTAACAAAGTGTTGTCTGGGACCGTTTAGCATAGAAATGGATACTACAATTAATGTCTTTAACATTGCAAGTTTTCAGATTGTTATAGGCTGAGCATTAGGAGTTGAACAGTTATGTCCATTTACATAGCAGACATAATACATTTGTAGCTTATGAAATACTCTAATTTGATAATTACCTTATCAAAACTTCACCAAGGTGTCCTGACAATGCACCATCTATGTATTCTTCTGTGTTTGCAAGCTTTTAGAAAAGGAAGAAAATATTAGCACAACTGTTTGAAGAAAATTCTCAGCCAGCAATCAGTAAACTATTGTAAGGCTAACGTCACTCTACAAGGGTTAATGGGCCCTTTTGGAGACTGGGTCTGTTCAATAGTAACTTGTACCTCATTAGAGTGCTTCATTTTATTATGCATGTAGCTTATTATGTTTCACTTTTCATTTAAGAATTTGACCAGAAGTGTGTAATATACAGCTAAGTATTGTCTATTGCTTTAGAACTATTGCTTTTAAACTTCCTGTAAGTGTACTTTTGAGGAAATTAAAAACAAACATATGTTTGCCATCAGGCATCAAAGCAGTAATTACTCCTACTAATAATCAGCTCTTGTATAGCCTTTTTAATCAGTTCTCAATCCAATCTTACCTTCATCTTGGACAAGGCTGCTGCTCCGTTGCACTGCAGGAGTGGGTAGCTCCGCACAGGGCTAAGCAAGAGCAGGAGCAGTGGGCTCCCTGCCTACCTGTCAGAGGACTTATTTGATACCAGGCAAGTCACTCCCCCGTTATGAGCTCCCCTGAATAACCCTGTCCCGCCCACCACCTGTGGGACCCCCATCCCCGCTGAACAACCATGACACACAGACACTCCCACCCACCTCTGGGTCCCCTCTGAACCCTGATACACACCCAGCTTTGACCCTCCCCCCACCCGCTCTGGGGCCCCCAGTCCCTCCCGAACTGCCCCCCACCCCACCCCGCAGCCCTTGGGGCCTCCCGGGGGCGGCCGCGTCCCGGCTCCCACTGACCTGCATGTTCATGTAGCCGTCGACAGACACCAGGTAGCCCTTGTACTCCATCCCCCACTTCAGCTTCACCATCACCGGCTTCCCCGTCAGCCCGTTCAGGAAGGGCTTGGGGTTCAGGGGCAAGCTCTGCGGGGCGCAACGTCACCACAACAGCGGGGTCAGGGCGAGGGGCCCGGCTCCCGAACAGCCCCCAACCCCGTTACCTACCACCCCTCACCTCCCCCGCCCCAGGGCGGCCCCGTTAACACCCCCAACCCTCCCCCTCGCGGCAGCGCCCCCCTCACCATGGTAACGCGGCCTGGCACAAGGCAGCGGTAAAACCAAAAATTACTCGCAGGGCCGCACGTGTGCCCGCTGGAGTCTAAAAGAAAAGCAGGAAGTGACGTCCGTGCCTCCACTTCCGGGAGGGCGCCCTGACCTTTCGCCTTTTCCCTGCCCACGAAAGCCTGAGTCCCATTGGGCACGGGGGCTAGCGCGCGAACGGAAAAGCCGGGCGCTGAGTGGCGGGACCGGAGGCGATGACGCGGCCCTGGTGGAGACGGAAGCGTCGAAGGCCACGCCCTGTCCCCTGCGTTAGGGCGACCTGTAGCAGCTGGTTCCGTACCGTAATCCTGTGTGTGTATGTGGAGGCTGGAATTTGAACCTGCGCTTTCTTAGCGGTTTTATGATGGTGGCGGGGGAGACCGACTGTCCCCAAGGCCCAGGGAGGAGCCAAAGCACGTGGAGCCCATTGCAGGGTCAGGGCCTTTCCCTGCAAACTACTTGCCCTGGCCTGACCCATGCGCAGAACTGCGCCGTGCAATGCTGTGAATTTGATTATTTAATTCATAGACTTCCCTATGCCCCATTATGTCTCCAGTTCCCCCATGGCCAGAACAGCCAAGTGCCTCACAAACTTTAAGGAATTATTTTGCTCTCTTCGTTTTTGAAAACTACTCAACCGTTTTGCCTACAAATATTTCCAAATACATGATCAATTCATTCCTGAGCTGAGAATGAACCTGTTAAATTTGAGTAAAAAAATGTTTTTTAAACAACAAAAGCTCATTGCAGGATTGGGGCTAAAGGGGTCGTTGCCACCTTCTTAGAACTTAATTTTTTATTTTTCTGGAAGACATCCGATTCACCAGTTGAAGTTGATCCAGGCAGTAAAAGATATTCCCTCACCCCCATTGTCTCTGTAATAACCTGGGAATCATTGCTCATCTTAATTAGTAAGCCTCTTAGAGTTGGTAGGGCAACTCCCACCTTTTCATGTTCTCTGTATGTGTATATATATATCTCCATACCATATGTTCCATTCTATGCATCCGATGAAGTGGGCTGTAGCCCACGAAAGCTTATGCTCAAATAAATTTGTTAGTCTCTAAGGTGCCACAAGTACTCCTGTTCTTTTTGAGTGTATATGTTTATCCACAAGGTGGCAGTGCTTAGCCTGCATTAGGCTGTCTAGAGGTATATGTTGGAGCCTTCTGGTAAGAAACTCTGTTATGCTCTCCTTTCATATAAAGCCAGCTTTTTCCAGGTCCGTGTTTCTTGCAATATGTTGAAGTGGAGCAAAGCATAGTGAACTGGATTTCTTTTTAAAAGAGTAGTGTATAGGGTAGGATATTTTAATTAATATGGACATGGAATTATCAAAACTAAAACTGGAAAAAACCACTTAGCTCATCTAGTCTATGTCCCCGCCAGTGCATGATTGGAAGCTGCAGTATCGTTTTAAACCTCAAGCAATAGAACTACTACTACTTCTCTTGGCAATAGAATGCCCAGAATGCCCTTCCTGACTTGCTTACACTTAATGAACTTTAGCTGGGTTGCTGTAGTTATAACTCCTAACTCCCTTAAGCCCTAATAAATATTGTCTTTCTAACATTTAGTAATCCATGTGTTAGCATTGCAGCCTCATAGCAGGAGTTGACCAGACAAGAATTTCCGTTCCTTTTGAAACTGAGGCTACTGTACACAGTATGTATGATTTTTTTTCCTGCTTAATGCTCAATATATTCAACTCTGTGTGTAAAATGTGTATATTCAGTAAACAACTATACTTCCAAGCAGTGTCCACTCCTATGTATTTATATCCCCCCAAATAATTGGCAAATTCCTTCTGTCTCCATACTGTTCAAAGAAATAGTACTTCCCCTGATTAAATTATTAATGGGCCAAATCATGTGCCCTTCTCTGAGGCCACAGCAATAAGAACGACCATATTGGGTCAGACCAAAGGTCCATCAAACCCAGCATTCTGTCCTGCGACAGTGGTCAATGCCAGGTGCCCCCGAGGGAACAAACAGAACAGGCAATCATCAAGTGATTTATCCCCTGTCACCCACTCCCAGCTAACAGAGGCTAGGGACACCATCCCTGCACATCCAGGCTAATAGCCATTGATGGACCTATCCTTCATGAATTTATCTAGTTCTTTTTTGAACCCTGTTATAGTCTTGGCCTTCACAACATCCTCTGGCAAGGAGTTCCACAGGTTGACTGTGCATAATGTGAAAAAATACTTCCTTTTGTTTGTTTTCAACCTGCTGCCTATTAATTTCATTTGGTAACCCCTAGCTCTGGTGTTACGAGAAGGAGTAAATAACACTTCATTATTTACTTTCTTCATACCAGTCATGATTTTATAGACCTCTATCATATCCCCCCTTAGTCATCTCTTTTCCAAGCTAAGAAGTCCCAGTCTTACTAATCTCTCCTCATACAGCAGCCATTCCATACCCCTAATCATTTTTGTTGCCCTTTTCTGAACCTTTTCCAAGTCCAATATATCTTTTTTGAGATGGGGCGACCACATCTACACACAGTATTCAAGATGTGGGCATACCATGGATTTATATAGAGGCAATATGATATTTTCTGTCTTATTATATATCCCTTTTTTAATAATTCCCCATGTTCTGTTCGCTTTTTTGACTGCCGTTGCACATTGAGTGGATGTTTTCAGAGAACTAGCCACAATGACTCCAAGATCTCTTTCTTGAGTGGTAAGAGTTAATTTAGACCTCATCATTTTATATGTGTAGTTGG